GACCCTGAGATGTGCCAATAGTTTTTGCATGATTGCTAAACTAATGGTTGGTGGTTCTAATCCAGCTTCACCATAGAAGAAAGGGCTGGAGATCTTCTCCTCTAAAGACTAAAGACAAGAAAACCCCAAGGAGAAATTCTACTCTGTGTCATTCGGGGTCACCATAAGTCAGAATTGACTCCATAGGAATGAGTTTGGTTTTGTTTAATATCTACATTAGATGAATGGGTTAAATGACTTATTTATAACAGAGTGTCTAGACAAAGTCTGTGAATAATAAAGTTAAAATAAATCCTCTGTGATGATAATAATATCATATTTCTTCCACCGTGACTTTGCATGTTCTAGTTTTATTAAGATTGAAATTAGAGTGACTTTTTTTTTCCATTGTAACTTTAATTGTTGACTATGATTATGAGTATCTTTATATCATGTAAGTCTCTATGGGATCACACAGGTTATTTATGTTGTTTTGCTACTTTTCTTGAATTGCACCTTAACTTTTCTCTTTGGGGAATATGTAAAGGGCCTTGGATAATAAGAAGGCTCACTAAACCAGTTTTCTGAAAAGTCTCTCAGATGATTTTTATATCTTCAGTGACTCACATAATTCTTCCTCAGGGAATATCACAAAGAGGGAGAACAATCATAAATTCTTCCTATCAAGCAGAAAGGAGAAATTAGTTGGCAGCTCCACCAATCTTTATCAGACAGTAAGCCATGAAACAAAAATTGTGTGAGCAGTTGAAGGAAACTCAAGTGGCTCCAGAAAATTTCACCCAACTCATAGTAAAAACTTAAAAAGAAAATAATTAAGTTGGGAGAAGATTTTTTACTTCTTCTTTAAGGTGAGCAGGTAACAAATGTATTTCCTTTTGATTATCACCTAGATCTTGGTAAATCCCCATGAGCTTGGATTCTGATTGGACACATTCTTATGATCACTCACAGCTCAGCCCTTACAAGTTTATCACAAGAATACATTATTTCCTTTGGTAAATGGTGGCACCTTTGTTCTCATGTTGTTTGCAGGATATTAAATCGATTAATCGAGCATGTACCCCAATTCTATCTTACATGTATGAGTTGCTGTAGAATAGTGTAGGTGAAGAGATTTTTCCTATATCTGAAAACTTAATTTCTTAATCTAGTAGAATGCATTAGAGTTAGGACTTCCAAATAAAATACAGGACACAGAGCTATATTTGAAGTAAAGATAAAAAAATGACTTTTTTTTTTTTTTTTAGTATATATATATTCTATACATTATCAATAGCAAATATTCTTTTCATACAAACATTTGCTTGGATTTTAATATATTTAGTATAACTATCAGACATGCAATGTGGGAACCATTTTAAGAGTAGTATTTCCAATTCAAATAGTGGGTTTTTGTGCTGATGGTGGTGCTGGTTGAAGTTGTTTGGTTGTTATTTGTTCTCCTTAGTGGATTGCATACAAATGCATCTGAGTTTTCACAAAGGGCATCGCAAACTGCATGAGTAGACTGACAAACACATTGTGTGCTTTGTCAAAGTTCCAGAACTCTGGAGAACTCCCTGAATCTACAATAAGCCCTACCTGATGTCACCATGTCTGCATACTTTTTGTCTCCTGTCTGTTCAAATGGTTACCAACAAATGAAGGTATTTTAAATACATTCATTAAGAAACCGCAAATAAATCATAGATATTCTTTGACACAAGAAGAATGAGAGGGAGTAAAATAATGCAGACATCATCAGAGAGAGTGGTAACTGATAGTTAATAGGACATGGACTCCATAACTACAAGAATTTTGTTAAAAATATTGAACACATAAAAGTGGTGGATTGGTGCTAAATTCTGAATTGCTTTGCTCCATTCCATGCCCTTCATATTACAGTAAAAATCTAATGCTACAGGCCCTGTGATAAACAAATTTCAGATAAAATTTTCAGAAGAGGATAGGCTTATTATTATATCTTGATTGACTAAGGAGTTGGAAGGGAGTCAATTGTGAAATAGCAGATAATTTATTTGAGGGAGAAGGAGGATAGAGGGTGCTCACCAGTCTTTACTATTTCCTGGCTCTCTATTTCCCACATCAAGTTTTCAAATACAACAACAACAACAACAACAAAAGAGAATCCCTAGAATGATGTCACTCTCCTGATTGTTTTAGCTGGTCACATGATCAAAACTCATCCTAAGAGACATCTTGTGCAAAGTGCGTTTGGACTACAGCTAATCCAGAGGGTAAGTGTGAACCTCTGGGGGCCCATAGAAGTTTTTACCTGGTTGCTGTGCAAGTTAAACTTGTATATTCCATTAATTCTAAAATTTAAATTCTGTATTTTATGTCACTGAACAATTTGAATTCCAATTACTATTCCAATTTATGAATTATGCCTGCAGAATAGTGACTTTTTTTTTCACCCCCATATAATGTGCCCACACATATAAAAGCAGGAATGATGAAGTTAAGTAAAGTCCATATGGCATAATGTGCTCATGCATAAGTTGAGCATGTCTCGTGTTATTTCCAGAAGTGCATTTTGGTCACATTCACTAGTCATCCCATGTTACAATTAATTATATCATTCTGTTCACTTTCTCTCATTTTGCTCATTTTCTTTAATCTCCTGCTTATGTGTATAAAAATAGCCCAGAAATGTTATTTTTCATCATAACTGTACGATAAAGTTGTAAGCCATAGTCAAGATGTCGTGAATCAACTTGGATAGAGAGGGAGAACAATGTGGAACAAAACTCAAAATCATTTAGAATAAAAAAGAAAAAAAGGGGAAGACCAGATTTGCTGGTCTGATAGAGCCTGGTGAAACCACTGAGACTATGGCCCCTAGCTGCCCTTCAGGTCTGGAATTGAACCAACACCTGTGGCTTCCAGCCAAACAAAAGATAGGCATATGAGTTGAACATTTACCTGAGGTGGATACACTCCTTGGAGAGAAAAACCATGGGAGTAAGAAGGGCTATTTATGCACAGAGAGACAGCTCAGGGGGCAGGAGTGCATGGAGGGATGGACACAGGGAAGAGGTAACTATGGGGAGGAAGTGGGAGGGGAACTGTTGCATTGTGGTAAATTGTAGTCAATGTCATGAGACAAAGTGTATGTGAACTGCCGTATAGAAAATGAATTTGCTCTGTAAATTTTCACCCAAATCACAATTAAAGAAGAAGAAGTCATGGATTGAGTTTAGTAGTCCCCTGGTAAACAGAAAATAAACAATCAAAAGTATACATCGGTTTCTATCAATTTAAGTTGACAATTAGAATGAGTGCATTAGCTCAACAGTTGATCTACCAGTAATTACTTTTGGATTAAATTTCAGGAAATATAAAATGAATGGCTACCATATGTGTAAAGTTTGAGTGTGATCATAAATAGAAATTGAAGCCAACAAAATGAAAACCAAAAAATAAATAAATAAAAGGTATAGCATGCTTGCCAAAAAATGCATGGGACAGGTGGCTGTGAGGTTTGGGTAGTTGGCAAAAATCATATATATACTAAGTTTTCTTTTTTATTGAGGGACCCTAAATGTGATAGGAGAATAAAAGGAAATCTAATCGGATTAGGCTATAGGAGCTCCAATCATGGTAGTTAACGTTGATTTACTGATTTTCCTTAATAAGTTCTATAAAATGGAGGGAGCAGGACTTACCACAGGAATCTATGAAAATCACAGAAATATACTGCTTAATTTCTCCATTGTACAGTGCTAAAAATAAATCAACAATTCCAATATATGAGTCAATGAATACAAGTATATTTTTAAAGTAATTTAGACCCTATCATTATTGCAATGTTATATTAAAGGAAACAAATCACATAGAATTAAATACTCAAAATATTAGAAGAGTGACATAAATCATATACTTTAGTGGGACTGGATCCAGATCTTGTGGGTTTTGAAGCATATAAATATTCTGATGCTTTCTTTAAAAAAAAAAGGAAAGAAAGAAAATTATAAGTGCAAATTGAGTCATCAATGTGGATGGTTAGAATAGAAAAAGGAATAAATGATGTTTCAGGTATGAAAAACTATTAACATTCACAAATAATACAAAATTCATAAATAACAAAAAAACTTCATTAATTAACACTCAAACACATCCAAAGATACAGGGTGGTAAGGATGTCTTTGACAGCCATTCCAACACCAGAATGAATAGCAGTATTTAATGATACAAGCTATTGATTTTAACCATATAAATTTTCCCTGTAAATTTCAAATAAGTGCTTATAATCTCAATTTACCCTTAGTCAGAGTCTAGTAATGCTTCCAAACCTTCTAATCCATCCTGACACTAGAGGTGCAATAGAGATCAAGACAGAATAGAAAGAGATCAAGTGGTCTTATTGATCAAGGATAAATATATATTAATTTATAATGCTTACAAAGAAACTTCATTGCTAAGACCCCACCTAGGGCCTTTGAAGAGGCCAGTGCAAACGAGAAAGCTTACACCTGAATCTTCATTAGCTTCGTATTATCCCTGCCCAACTCTTTACAAACATTACTTGTCCACAAGATTTCTGAAACAAAATTGGAAATGTACTAAGGAAAACTTATGATGTCATTATGAAGACAGATTAAACTCTGTTGTTGTTGTTGTTATGTGCCGTCGAGTCGACCCCGACTCATAGCGACCCATCCTTGGGTTGCTGAGGCAGTATCACTATGGAAGATTAAACTCTAGCATCTCTTTATTAACAGCTACATGGTTTTATTATAAATGTATTTCCTCCAAACATTGCTGAACCTATGTTATAATAGTATGTAATGAGTTTCATATGGATGCTCTAATTTCAGAAGTAGTGTGTTCTGCAGTTTATTTTAGCTTAAAATCAGATGTAGGAAGTAGTTTCCATTTTCTGTTATGAAGAAAAAATCTCCATCATGTCTATAGCTATCATGTATATTTTTAGATAATACTACACGAAAGCTAATATCAATCCCTTTGTTTCTTCCCAGAAAAGATAACTGGTCTAAATGGGCCACCAGAATCTGACAGTGCTGACTGAATTCATTCTGATGGGAGTCACAAAAAGACATGAACTGCATCTCCCCCTTTTTGGTATCTTCCTTGTCATCTATATGATCACAGTTGTGGGGAACCTGGGCATGATCATCTTGACCAAAGTGGACTCCCGCCTACACACACCTATGTATTTTTTTATCAGACATCTGGCTTTCATTGATCTTGGTAATTCTACTGTCATTTATCCCAAGATGCTAGTAAATTTTGTGTTAGATAAAAGTACCATTTCTTATTATGAATGTGCCATACAGATGGCTTTCTACATTTTATTCATCATCACTGAACTCTACATCCTAGCAGTTATGGGGTATGACCGCTATGTAGCCATCTGTAACCCTCTGCTCTACAATGTTATCATGTCCCACACACTTTGCCATGTGCTCGTAGGCATTCCGTACCTGTTCTGCACCTTTCAGTCTCTGTTGCTCACCAGTAAGATTTTTACATCGACTTTCTGTGGTTCTAATATTGTTAGTGATTTCTTCTGTGACAATGTTCCCTTAATACCTTTGCTCTGCTCCAATGCACGGCAAATAGAACTGATGATCATAATGTTTGCTTCATTTAATTTGATGTCCTCCCTCCTAGTCGTCCTGGTCTCCTACATCCTGATTTTGATAACCATATTTAGAATGCGTTCTGCTGAGGTCAGGAAAAAAGCTTTTGGCACATGTGGTTCTCACCTGACAGTGGTGACTGTGTTCTACGGGTCTCTGTTATTCATGTATGTGCAGCCTGAGTCTGCTCATCCTTTTAGCACTGACAAAATTACCTCTGTATTTTACACTTTAGTCATCCCTATGCTTAATCCCTTCATATACAGTTTAAGGAACAAAGAGGTAAAAAATGCTTTCCACAGGATCTTTAAGAACCCATGTAAACTTTGTATTTAATATATGATGTTATTCTAATAAATTGTGAAATATGCAAGCATCTTTGGACCACATTTCCAATAGATAGAATTATATGATCTGGGTTCTAGCACAGAGGGTAATGATAAAGAACAGACATAAGCATTATTTTCCTTATATTCATTTTGTATTAATCATCATATTTTATCTTGAATGTCATGTCCTTCCCAAGATTCCTTATTTCATTTCTGTTTCAATGCTTCTTTCAATGATTCCATAGGAGCTCATACTTTTCCCTAAAAAAAAAAAAAAAAAACTTATTGCACCCTACATCAATCACGTATGTGTTTATTTCTGTCAGTGATATTTAATGATGAGAATCTCCTGGGTCTTATTTTCATTGTACTTTCGGAGCCTAAATCAATAATGTAAACAAAGTTGGAGACAAAGAGTTATCTGAGTCTCTCTTGACATCAAGAATGATTTACTTCTCTTGGCAGGCAATATGACTGTAGATCTGTAGTGTCCTTCTTAGATACCTAGTGCCCTATGTGCTGATGCTACTGGTCATATCTAAATGCACAAGTAAGAATGAATTAAAAAAAAAAGAAGAATAGACTGAAGAAAGGTGGATAAAAGCTGGAAGGGAAAATGAAGGAAAGATATCTGTGATGCATAATTGAAAGGACTGAAGGATTTATTATAGGTGAAAATGATGGAAAAAATCATGTTGGAAAACTTTTAAGAACAAGATGAAAATATTGACACATTTTCTAATTCGTATAGTCAGTGAACTTGGAGAGTACTATATTGGTAAAGAAGGATGAACAAAATGTCAACAGGATAAATAAATGGGTGATGAAGTTTTTATCGTAGAACACTGTCAACAATAATTGAAGCAAAAAGAAATGAAAGAACATAGGATTTATTTGAGAAGTTAATCTTCATGTGTACAGGGAAATTTCTCTGTTTAGAGAAACAGAAGTATTATTTTAGACCTGTCACATTGATAATTTTAAAGAGAAAGGGAATACACACAAAGTAGAAAATCAAACATGTCTCTGACCTTAAGAATGGAATCCTGCTTAGTTTCTATCTGAGGTTTCCAGGTGCACTTTGTGACCTGTCCAAGCTATCTCAATCAATCAGGAAACTCTAAAGATTTAGAATTGTTTTCTCAGGAAATAAGGGCAAAAACTAATTTTTATTATTTATTTATTTATTTGTACAAGACTACACTTTAAATGAGTTTATGGTTAACGTTTATTTGTCTTGTTACAAAACGCACTTACAAAGTCTCAATAACTATGTCTATCTGGCCCTCGAAAGCCAATGGGGGTTGCTATGAGTTGGAGATGACTCGATGGTGGTGAGTTTGGTTTTGGTTTTGATGTGCTAGTCTAGGCCCACCCTAGGTGAAGCCCAGGCCAAGAGTACAAATGGAAGCCTACTCACCCTTAAATGTTTATAAGTTATAAATTTAGTTTATAAATTATATGAAAAATGTTCTATCTTTCTTCTGGATAAATATACCTTTATAACTACCTAAACTCTGGGAGCAAGGTAAGCATGGGCGGGCTGGTGCTTACTCACTGATCTGCATTGAACACTTTCCCTTGTTACCCTCCCGAGAGTGACCAGGTCTCCGGGAGCAAGGTAAGCACGGGTGGGCTGGTGCTTACCCACTGATCTGCACTGAACACTTTCCCTTGTTACCCTCCCGAGAGTGACCGGGTCTCTGGGAGCAAGGCAAGCACGGGC